AAAAAGATAAAGAAGCTAAACCTACTGCCATCAAGTTAATTCTGACGTGTAGTGATCTTACAGGACAAAGTAGAACTGCCCGTGTGGGACTTGTAGTTTGTAAGTCTTCAGAGAAGCAGAGTGGCAAAGATGAGTCCACCATTCTTTGTTATTCATTACAATAATCTTAGAATCACCACCTTTTACATTTGACCCATTCTTTTAGGCTGGTGCCTTTATTTTTTCTGTCCTCACTGAGAGATCACCTCTGCAGCAATATTTAAGGTTATTGAACATTCAATTAAATAAAGATATTGTGTGTTTTCTGTGTCACAAAAGTACTAGAGCCACTGGAGATAAACTAAGCCTTAATGTTATACCAATACTTCTGGTAGAGCTATAGCTGAAAAGAAGCACTTTCTTGCTGCTTTTATAATAGAGATCATTACAAGTGCTTCAGTACCAAAATGAAGGCCTTGGCATAAAAGGTCACAAATGTTAATGAAACGCAATTTTTGTCATAAATTTGTATTTATATTGCACACGAAATCCTAATAAATTAGAATTAACATTTGATTTTTGATAGTACTATTCATTCCTACATAAATTCAGCTATGCTATATCTAACTAACATCCTTCAGGTCCTGGTAAACGCAAAACCCTGATGAATTATTAGCTAATGCTAATAGGGAATGCTGTTTGTAAATGTAATCTTGAACAGCAAAGGATTGATGTATTGCTGCTCATAGTAGACAGTTCAACAGGACACATGAAACGTCGATGGAAAATAAACCAAGGAGCCCGGTGGTGTCACAGTTACACATTGTCCTAGTAAGAGGTAGGTCAACTGCTAGTGAATCTGGGAAGAAAGACAGGGCTTTCTGTTCTGAGGAGTCAGAGTCTCAAAAACCCCCAGGGGCAGTTCTGCCCTGTCCTGTAGGGTTGCCATGCGTCAGCATCCACTGGACGGCAGTGAGCTGAGTACTTTTACCTCTATAGTGCTCGCTCATTGACATAAGTTAGCACGAATGTTATGGCACTAAAGTGATGGCTGATGTCGTTAGATGCCATTAAGCCAGCTCCGACTCATAGCAACACCATGCACACATAATCAAACACATCCTGAACCTCTCCCAGCCTCACAATGATGGTTGTGTTTGAGCCCATTGGTGAGGCCACTGTGTCCATTGAGCTCCTTGAGGGTCTTCATCTTCTTCGCTGACCAAGAGTCCAGATGGTTTGTCAAAAGTATGTGAGCCAGTCTTGGCATCATTGCTCCAAGTGAGCACTTAAGTTGTATGTCTAGTAAGACATATTTGTTCTTCCGTCTTCTGGCCGTCTATAGTACCTTCAATATCTTTTGCCAGCACCATAATTCAAATATGTTTTTTCTTTTCCGTTTTTTTCTTATTCATTACCTAGCTTTTCTCAAAGTAATATCTTTCATCTTTATCACATTAAGGAACTCTTTTGTAACAGATTTGCCCGGTGTAATGCGTCCTTTGATGTTTGGGCTGCTGCTTCCATGACCACGGAAGGAAAATACTAAATCCTTTACAACTTCAGTCTTTTCTCCATTTATCATGATGCTGTCTACTGGGGCAGTTGTGAGGATTTTGGCATTCTTTGTATTGCACTGTAATCTCAACTGATAGCTGTGATCTTTTATCGTCATCAGTATGTGCTTCAAATCTTGTCATCACTTTTGACAAGGAAA